TGCTCAGGTAAAAGAACTATATACAGTCATAATATATTTGTGGTTTTATTTTCTTGATTCATTTAGAATATAACCATTTCCCACAGGTTTATGAATACAATGTAATTGTACAAATCCAACATTTAAGCTAGATTCCAAAGCTAAAGCCATCTGAAAATTTTTTTAAAATGAAGCTAAAAGATAGCCAACTGGGAGATGATATAGATAACTGCAAATATCTTGCTCCAGACCCTAAAAGATTCCTGGACTCTATCAGCCTCAGGAACATGGAATTATAGAGAGATACTCTATACTGCATTTTGTTGAAGGCCACATTCAGATATGTGAGTGGTGAGGAGGTTAACAAGTAGATTAGCAAGTAAATAGGCTAGTGTTTCCAAACAGAGTAAGAAATAAGACATTTGTGGTAGAGTCATAATATTGATCTAAGATCTAAGTTAAGGTTTTCCCTTTTCAAATTAATGACCCCCAGTTCCCTGTAACAATTTATAAAAGAGGGGAAATCACGTAAGTAATATACAGTGAAAAAGTCAGAGAGACAGAAAATATTCCAAAATAATTTGTGAAGGACATACCTTATATCCAACATTTACAAGACTACTGAACACAAAGTACTTACACTAATAGCCCACAAATAAAACCATATGTGTATGGGTATGTTTCTTTTTCTCTGATTTATATCCCTGTATATCAGCCTTTATTAAGAGTAAGTTTTGGATATACTGCATTATTTGTTTTGACATAAATTTTAAGATCAACTTGTTAAGGTCCATGAGAAACCTTGAAGGGGTTTGATTAGAATTCCATTGAATTTTACAGATTATCTGGGGGCCACAATTGATGTCTTTATGATTCATAGTCTTCCCAATTGTAAGCAGGTCTGTTTGTATTTTTAAATTTGTTCTAATTAGTTATACATGACAGCAGAATGCATTTTGATTTATTGTACACAAATGAAGCACAACTTTTCATTTCTCTGGTTGTACACAATGTGGAGTAGCACCATATGTGTAGTCATACATATATCTAGGGTAATGATGTCCATCTCGTTCCACCATCTTGGTCTGTCTATATTTTAATCAGTGTTAATTTTTGTCCTTCAATAGTGGTTGGTAATTTTTTTCTCAAATGTATCATATGTGTGTTGCTTATTTTCAGTGAAGAATCAAAGACATGTTTCACTAGTGAACCAAAAACAGAAAATAACCCAACTTATTTTACAAGGCTAGTATAACATTGATTCCAGTTGAAATATGGGTTCTTTCTGTAAAGGGCTAGAGAGCAAATATTATAAACTGTGGGTCAAGAGGCAAAACTAAGATTATTGTGTAGGTACTTATAAAATGAGAGAAAGCAAATTTCCATAAATCTTTATTAATATGATTTAAAATATAAAAATTGAGTATACTGAGTATAGTTTTTTCTAAGTAAGATCTGTGACTATGAAGAACAGAATTCTTTTAAGAGGAATAACATTGTTTCCTATCATCCAAATCAATTGAAATGTTCATTTGTTAATGCTGATCTACAATGAGATTTTCCATATTTCACCTTTACAAATGTCTTTCCTTGTGCATAGTTTCTGCAAAATACTGATATCGGTCTATGAGCATATGGTTTTAATTGAACATAGTCACAGATTGGAAGGCATTTTTAGAATTATATTAGCTAAAAGGCTAGAATGCCTTTTAGCATGTCATTACATTGCAAATCACTTCCAATTAAAGTTCCTCAATTGCACAGTTAAATGGATTTTGGAATATGGAAATTTACTTTGCACATGCATAGAGGTCTGAAAAACACTGCTGTAGTTCAAAATTAGAAAATATATTGCTGGGAATGGAGACATCACTTTTTTCTTTTTAAACTTGACAGTGAAGGCCTGACATTATTTGCAGTTCAAACATTAGTTGTCATTGAAATGACTTTATCACAGTATGTTTTACATGTAAGACTCACATATAAGCACTGTTTTGCCTTGTAACTTTTGCTTGAAACATTTTCAAGTGCGTAGCAAAAGGTGAATTCTAAGGCCATTCAAAGTTCAATACCAGTGGGTAATGTAGTTCTTCAAATATTTTCAAAATGTAAAAATCATTCTTGAGGGCTCTACATACACAAGGTAGATTTAGTCCATTGGTCATAGTTGCCTCCCTCTGCTCTATAAAATCTTGACCACTTATATTACCAGTAAATGAGACTGTTTTCCCAAAATTGTGTAATCAATGAGTATTAACTTTTAAAAATTTATCTAACTTTAATATTAACTACTCTGATGATATGATCATTCTATACTTGTATATATGTACTGAATTATGATATAGTACATAATAAATCTTTAAAACTAAAAAACCCAAAATTATTTTTTAATTTATATATATTTGAAAAATAAGGTAATATATCTTTTTAAAAGAGCTTTGTGATTATACATAGTAGTTGGTTTCATCCTGACAAACTTGTACATGCATGGTCATCTATTTGGGTTCATGATTCCCCCTTTTCCCTTTTGTCCTTCCTCCACTCTCCCTTCTCCTACCTCTGCACTATTAGGTATTCTTTCACTCCTTGATTAGTTTGTATTTGATTGACTATGTAATCTTATCTTCCCCTTCCCCTTTTGACTCTAGCTTCCACATATGAGAGAAAACATTCAACCTTTGAGTTTGAGTTTGGTTAATTTCACTTAGCATAGATATTCTTCAATTCAATTCATTTACTGGCAAATGCCATAATTGACTGGCATCTGGGTTGTTTCCATAATTTAGCTATTGTGAATTGTGCTGTTATAAACATTGATGTGGCTATATTGCTGTAGTAAGCCAAATGCAGATCTTTGGAGAAAATACCCAGGAGTGGGATAGTTAGGTCATGTGGTTCCATCTCTAGTTTTTTGGAAATCATCATACTACTTTCCAGAATGGTTATACTAATCTGCAGTCCCACCAACAATATACAAATGTTTCTTTTCCCCTGAAACTCTGCACAAAAATCAAATCAAAATGGATCAAAGACTTAACAATTAGACCAGAAACTTTACAACTGCTATAAGAAAACATGGTAAAAACTCCATCATACAGGTACTGGAACCAACTTTCTTAACAAGACCCCTAAAGCTCAAGAAATAAAACCAAGAATCAATAAGTGGGATGTCATTAAACTAAAAAGCTTCTGAACAGCAAAGGACATGATTAAGAACATGAAGGGAGAGCTTACAGAATGGGAGACAATCTTGGACAGCTACCCCTCTGATAGATAGGATTAATATCCACAATGGGCAAAGAACTCAAAAAACTTTAAGCCAAAAAAATCCAAAAGAACAAACACAAAAGGCCAATGTATATATGAAAAAAATATTCAACATCTCTAGCAAATCAAAACTACACTAAAATTTCATCTCCAATCATAAGAACAATGATCAAGAATACGCACAACAATAAATGCTGGTGAGGTTGTGGGGACAAAGGAACACTTTTATATTGTTGGTAGGACTGTGGACTAGAACAACCATTCTGAAAAGCAGTATGGAGATTCCTTTAAAAAATAGGGATGGAACCACCATAAGACCTACTATCCCACTCCTTGGGTCTAAATGGGCACAGCCATGTCAATGATTATAGCAGTACAATTCATAGTAGATAAATTATAAAATTAACACAGATGCCAATCAGTAGATGAATGGATTAAGAAATTGTTGCACACACACAATTTGACTTCTACTCAGCCATTAAAACAAATACAACAGATACTAGTATGGCAGCATGTATAAACGTGGCTATATAACCAATGTGATCCTGCAATCTGTACACGTGGGAAAAATAAGAATTCATACCCCATTTGAGTCAAATGTATGATATGTGTCAAGATCATTGTAATGTTTTGAGCACCCAATAAAAAAAAAGAAATTATAGGACTAAGAGCTGGGGTTGTGGTTCAGTGGTGGAACACTTGTCTAGCATGTGTGAGGCTCTGAATCTTGTAAAGTTGCACCTCAATAAATTGCTAAGGCTCACATTGAACTTGGGATCTACCTCCTCAGTCTTCTTAGTTGCTGGGATTATAGGTGTGTGCCATAGGATCTGGCTTCTCCTAATATAGTTCTTATTTATCCTTCAAGACTTAGATCAAGGACCAGTTCCTCCTCTGGCTACAATATGTGCATATATGTGCTTTAACATCAATTTCACTTTTATGTAATTAACTTTTGATTTATAGCAATCTGTGTGTCCACTGGACTGGTAACTGATGTGTATATTTCCAAACAGTGCCCAGCACTTAGTAGGTACTAATAATTTGTTGACTGGTGAGTTAAAAATAATAGTAGTAGTATTAATAATAATAACAAATATGTGCCAGATATATTAAAAAATGTGTATAATATTCCTCATGTAGTTGTTGCCATAATATAATATACAATTAAATTGTGAAGAAGCACCCTCAGAACTGGGCATGGTAGAGCACGCCTGTAGTCCCAGCTACTCAGGAGGCTGAGGCAGGAGAATCACTTAGCCTAAGATTTTATCAGCCTGGGCAACATAGCAAGACCCTATCTCTTTTTTTAAATATTTGTTTTAGTTAGAGGAGGACACAATATCTTTATTTTGCTTTATGTGATGCTGAGGATCAAACCCAGTGCCCCACACATTGCTAGGCAAGCACTCTACCTCTGAGCCATAACCCCAGCCCAAGATCCTGTCTTAAAAAAGAAAAAATAGCATGGTGTAAAAGATCTCCCTCATATAGTAAATCCTAACCAAATATTTGTGTTTTTATTCCCTAATAAAACTGAGTGTGTCACTTTATTAAAACATGTATTTTCCCCTTAAATGATGAAATGATTAAATAATAGCCTTTAGTTGTGACTTTGATCTCTAAGAAAAATTTGTTTGCCCTGGAATATTCATTGGTCATATGTATTTTGTAATTTGAACAGGAAGCTTCTTTTCAAAATCTCCTTTGTAACTTAACCAAGATTAATCTTTTATTTCACTTTATTTCCAAAGGATATCCATTACCTTGCCCTAGATAAGGGTGAATTGGCACTAGCTGAAGTGGCAAGAAAAAAAGCTAATGATATTGATGCAGAATCAATAACCTCTGGAGTTGGTAAGAATTAATACTTTTTTTTAAAGTTCCTTTTGTTTTAATTCTTACTCAGAATCATTTCTAGTTGTAGGGCATAGTTGGTTAATTTGAATTGCTTTCTTTGTAAAGACAGTTATGGCTTAAAAATTTTAATTTTTTAAAAAGTTAACAAATGGTATAATATCAATAAGTTGGAATTATACATGAAAATTGATCATTTGTGATTATATAATCACTATTTAGCAAAAAGTAAAAAGGCATTGTTATTTGCACAAGATTTTGGGGTGAGTTTATCATCAGTGCCATTATGGACCAACACAGAAACTTAACCATTTATACATAGGTGATATGTTCAAAGAATTCTCTCCTATGTAAGACAAAGCATTTCACATAGGATCAAGTTTGACAGGTGATTTGTTTTCTGTTCAGAAGCTGCTAGTGTCATTTTGCAGTGTAGTTTTCAAAGACAGATCAGAAGCCCAGATTGAATCTAAAGGCCCACTTAAACTTTACAATATACAAAAATAAAAGATTTAAAAATATATCAGCATGAATTTCCTTTTTCTAAACTTAGTTTATCTAATGTCACTAAATCTGGCAGTAGTAATACTTGGACATCACAATTTCCTGTTCTTCCTAGTATTTCTTATTCCTAAATTACACAAAGGACTCTCAGGGTTATAAGTAAAATTGCTTCATTTCTCTATGTAAGTCCTGTGAAACAAATATTTTAATAAAGATTCCCACTTTGTAAGTGCTTGAAAATATAATGAGTCACTACCCTGAGCAGTCTTCTTATACTTTGGGTGATGTTTGCTGCCAAATGGGCCAACTCTTAGCTTCTCTCCAATGTGACCACCGATTCCACTGTTCAACATGGTAGTGGAGGGAACTCAAAGCCATACCACTAGCGTAGCTCCAGACCTGAACACTAGGACTGGTAATTACTTACCAGTAAGAGAATCATATTCTCCTTCCACACTTAAGAGTGTTGGAGATTGAGCACTTTCAGAGCTCCATTTCTATGGAGCTAATATTCTTAATTGTATTCAGTGTGAGTATTCCTTATAATACTAAAAAGTTATTCTTACCTAATAGTAACTCTAGTTGGTCTATTGCTATATCTTTTTACTTACAAAGTCTGTGATGTGCCTCCTACTAATAATATTAATATACTGGAGGTGGTGGCACATGCCTATAATCCCAGTGGCTCAGGGGGCTGAGGAGGAGGATCACAAGTTCAAAGTCAGCATCAGCATCTTAGCAAGATCCTAAGCAACTTAATGAGACCCTGTCTCAAAATAAAAGGGCTGGGGGTGTATCTCAGTGGTTAGGTGCCCCTGGGTTCAATCCCCCAGTACCAAAATAATAATAATAATATATTGATAATAAGCTAATATTTATTGAATGCTCCCTAAGGACAGATACTATTTTCAGTTACAGATAGAAGCACATCCTCACTACAATTCTGTGAGGTACATACAATTTATATTTTTTTATGAGAAGTCACTTGCAACTAAATGCTGAAACCACACCATAGTAATAGGGATTATGATGTTATGGGGATACAAATATTTTCCATCCCCTTTCTTAGCCATTTAGGAAGACACAGCAAGATGTTAATTCATAATCATTCCTGTCAATTTTCCTTAGTTTTCCTGTGTCCTGAATTTTCCACTAAGGGATTAGATATAATTAATCTTTCAAAGCTATTTACAGGGTAAAAGGGAAGGGGAAGAAATTACCACGAAATTTCAGGAAACTGAAGAAATGCTTCTATTCTTCAGTATGCATCTTGTGCCCCTATTCTTTAATCAAGTTACTGTAGCCGCTGATAATTCCTAACCAGAAGGCTTGGTGTTCCTCCTTTGAGTCCTGCGTCATTTCTACCAAATATCTTTTTTCACTAAAGCCTTATGACCCAGATTACTAACAAAGATACTATTAGGTAACATCAGTAACTAGCAAGAGGTTAACTTCTTAGATAAATGTTCTGTCCCACTTTCATTCCAGAAAACTGGGTGACTCCCAGTCATACCAAACAGTATTCAGGAAAGAATCTCTAGTTTTCTCATCATGGTCTAGTCCCAGCTTTTCATTTCAGCCTATATCATTTCTGAGAAAAGCTAACTTCTCTCAAATTCCCTCAGTTTAACTCACTATTCTCTCAAACTTTTCCCAAAGCAGAGAGAGATTAAATTTTTGGCTTTCAAAAGTGTTCTCTGACGTGAGGAAGAGACCAAATTGTAACATATCAAGAGTACTTAAGTAGTTCAATCTAGACATAGGAGAATCTAAAAAAGTATCACATAGACTTGCTAACACAATTCAAAGCAAGAGTTGCTAAAGGAAAAGCTCAATGATTATTATCAATGAATAATATGTTAATATTTTTATTTGAAGCATAACTAACATTCATACAGAAAGTACACAAATCATAAGTACATGACTCCATGAATTTTGACAAAAAGAACACATTCTTATAACCAATATTCAGGCTAAGTACATTACCAAGACCCCAGAGGTCCTCCTGCAACACCTTTAAATCCTATACCCTTAGCCCAACTATCTAGACTTTTTAAAAATTATTTATTCTAATTTGTTATACGTGATGGCAGAATGCATTTCATTTCCTATTGCATATATAAAGCACAATTTTTCAATTCACTGATTGTATGCAAATATTTTCACACCATCCATGTCTTCATACATGTACTTAATGATGTCTAACTCATTCCACTATCATTCCTTTACCCTTGTTCCCTCCTTTGCCCTATCTAAAGTTCCTCCATTTCTCCTGTGCTCCACGCCCCCATTGCCATTATGATTCAGCATCCTCATATCAAAGAAAACATTTGGCCTTTGGTTTTTTAAGATTAGCTTACTTCACTTAGCATTATGTTCTCTAACTCCATCCGTTTACCTGCAAATGCCATGATTTTATTCCCTTTTATTGCTGAGTAACATTCCATTGTGTATATATGGCACATTTTTTAATCCATTCATCTACTGAAGGGTATCTAGGTTGGCTCCACAGTTTAGCCATTGGTGCTACTATAAACATTGATGTGGCTGTGTCCCTGTAGAATACTGTTTTCAAGTCCTTTGGGTATAGATTGAGGAGAGGGATAGCTGGGTCAAATGGTGGTTCCATTCCCAGTTTTCCAAGGAATCTCCATACTGCTTTCCAGATTGGCTGCACCAATTTGCAGTCCCACCAGCAATGTATAAGTGTGCCTTTTTCCCCACATCCTCGCCAACACTTATTGTTGTTTATATTCTTAATAGCTGCCATTCTGACTGGTGAGATGAAATATTAGAGTAGTTTTGATTTCCATTTCTCTAATTGCTAGAGATGTTGAACATTTTTTCATATATTTGTTGATTGATTGTATATCATCTTCTGAGAAGCCTGTTCAGTTCCTCGGCCCATTTATTGATTGAGTTATTTGTTGGTTTTTTTGTTGTTGTTGTTTAAGGTTTTTGATGCTTTATATATCCTAGATATTAGTGCTCTATCTGTGCTTTTAGTAAAGATTTTCTCCCACTGTAGGCTCTCTGTTCACTTCATTGGTTTTTCTTTTGTTGAGAAGAAGCTTTTTAGTTTGAATCTATTCTATTTATTGATTCTTGGTTTTAATTCTTGTGCTATAGGAGTCTTATTAAGAAAACTAGGACCTCATCCAACATGATGGAGATTTGGGCCTACTTTTTCTTTCATTAGGCACAAAATCTCTGGTTTAATAGGTCCTTGATCCACTTTAAGTTGAGTTTTGTGCATGGTGAAAGAGAGAGTTTTAATTTCATTTTGTTACGTGTGGATTTCCAGTTTCCCCAGCACTATTTCCAACTATCCAGACTTTTGTAACACAAAATAAAGTTTTTATAATAGTTTTACAGTAGTTTCTAACAGTTGTAATTCTTTCAGTCTTATTGGTGTGTAACAATATTCCAACATATAAATATGACAATTTTATTTATTCTACTTTTGATGAATATTTTGGGGATTTCTGACTTTAATTGCAATATATGAAATAAACTACATATATTATTATGTACATAAAATATCAAGTTATATTTGATTGTCTACCTTTTATTATTTTGTTTCCTCTTCTAGAAGTCTTGTTTTATTCCTGGTATTCTGGTCATTTACACAGGATAAATTATATAAAACTCACACCAGTCAATCATGCTTTTATATGGCCTGGTAAGGCAAAAAAGATATTCAACTTTGACATAAACGTTTTAGTGTTTTATGATTTTAAGCAATGGTGATTTCAGGTAGAAATATCTAGAGTATTGTTAGTCTTCAATTTCCTATTCTCTAATATATTATGTGTTATGTTAAATATCAGAGATAAATGTTTAAAGTTTATAAAAATGTCTTGTGTTTCTGAGTGTTCACTTTGGTACTAAATGTATTACTTCCCCTTGAGAGACCAATAGCTTGTGCCTCAGTTTTCTCATTTTAAAAGAGATGAAAATATTAGTACCTATGATGTGGATTATTGTGGGGTTACATTAGTTAATTCATGCTTCAAACAGTGTCTGGCAAAGATTAAAGCACAGTAATGGTTAGTGCCTTTAAAAATAAAAATGTGTATTTTTAGTAATAAACATTCTTGAGTGGTGAGATATCACACCTATAAAATACAGGCTTTATTGGTTCTTCTTGATTAGTCCTTAATTTAATTCCTATGTTTTAAGTTTTAACATTATGTATTAAATATGGGATATAATAAATCATTTGTGTCAGAAAAGTATTATGGATGGACATCCAGTAAGATTTTCCCTTAAAGATTATAAATTTATAATTGTGTCCTTTCCAGTTAGTTATAACTGAGAACTCAGTCTGTAGTACAATACAAACTATAAAGTCAAATTTGTCCTCTTCCATCTTTGGCCAAGGCTTAATGAGCTTCATTGATGATGGTGCTGTAAGGCCAATGATAATATTAGGTATGGAATATTCTAGGCTACCATAAAACAAGAGAGAGACCACAAAACACAATCACTTGACA